GGAACGATACACCAAATACCCTTCTTGCATGGCAGGCTTTCGTCGGGTAGGTAGGTAGGTAGTAAACTTTTTTTGTCGGGGCCGCTCCTCCATCGACTGTGTCCTTGACTTATCGACATTTGTGCAACAAGAAAAAGTCGCAAGCGCATATCAGTGGCACTCTTTCTTGACGTGAAGGGTGCATATGATAATGTAGCTCACGATGCCATCCTCACTTCTCTCGCAGCAATGGGCATTGGTGGACGAATGTTTCAATGGATAAAAGATTATATAACTGGCAGGGGTTTCTTTGTGCAAACTTATGAGGGTACAACTGCTGAACATTACACCTACTGCGGAGTACCTCAGGGAGGTGTTTTAAGCCCCACATTGTTCAATGTGACCCTCATTGGTCTGGTGAAGGTTCTGCCAAAGTCGGTGTGCCTATCCATATACACTGATGATATTTGCCTCTGGAGTGCTGCAGTTACTCGCCCTCAGGTGCGTGCACGAATACAGCGGGCAGCAACCCTCACAACAGCCTACCTTCAGAAACAAGGCCTAACTATATCAACTATGAAGTGCGCGTTGATGGCGTTTACACGCAAACCAATGACGCCATACCCTGTTTACATCAATGGGTAGAGTGTAAAATATGCACGGACGCATCGTTTCCTGGGTATAATAATCGACAGAAGTCTTTCGTGGAGCCCACATTGTGCGTACTAGAAGAAGAGACTGCTATCTATTGTGCATATAATGAAATTCATGTGCGGGAAAGCATGGGGAACTTCTGTGGCCTCCATGCTACAGCTGTACAGGGCCCTATTTCTGGGTCTATTGCGCTACAGCTTTCCGGTACTAACACTTGCAAATCCAATACTCATTCATTGGAGAGTTTGCAGGGTCAGGCACTGCGTATCTGCCTAGGACTGCCCCGATGCGCTTCTACTTATGGCACAATCATGCCTACCAAAGACCATCCGGTCAGGACATATAGAGTTGTGGATTGCCTCAGAGCACACATTCGACATGCTAGCCGTGTCCCCGACCACCACTTGGCCCTTCTACCCTCCGGAAGTCCACGTGCTACGTTTTCAGACGTCATAGCCAAGCACCTAAACAGCATTCCATCAGGTTATACGCCAGCTGCGAGAATGGCATGTCCTTTGGTGCCTCGACCAGCTGCAAGTACGTCTACAAATTCCGGGAATCAAAAAGAAAAGCAATCACTCCAGAGTAGCATTGAAGCAAGCAACACTGCTATTAATACATGAGTTGTACTTAGAACGAACGCAGATATACACTGATGGGTCCGTCTCGTCCAGAAGCTCATCAGGTGCCGCTGTAATTCCGGCTGCTGCAGTGACAATCAAGTTTAAGTTGTCACATATGACTACATCTACGGCATCAGAGCTTGCTGCTATAAGGGCTGCTTTACAATTTCTCGTTCAAGAACGTCCAGGGAAATGGGTCATATTCTGTGATTCGAAGGCAGCGCTTCAGAGTTTGTAGTCTGCCATGCGTAGGAGGAGTCATGACCAATTGGTACAAGAAATAAGACATTGCCATCATGAAGCTCTAGCACGAGGGCATGATATTATATATCAATGGCTGCCTGGACATATCGGTATTACCGGAAATCAATTAGCCGATGATGCAGCCCGCTCAGCCCAAGAAGGAACCCATGTGGTCCCGATTTCTCTATCAAGGAATGATGCAGCAAGACAACTTTACCTGCTGGCTCGAGATCTCACACGTACGTTCTGGTCGTCTACCAGCTTTCAAAGTTGTCAATTATATGAACTGGATTCTTCGCTCAAGCTAAAGCTACCATCACAGCTTTTCCGCTCCGATGCGACACTGTTATGCCGCCTTTGGTTGGGTGTTACATTTACAAAGGTGTACTCCTTGCGCATTGGTATGGCAGACACCTCTACATGCGACTTCTGCGGAGCTGAAGAGACCATCGAACACGTCCTGTGCAGCTGCGCTTGTTACGACACACAGCGATGCCAGCTCCGGATGGTTTTGAATAATCTTGACCCCGGACCATTTTGTGTGCAGAAGATACTAGGACCTTGGGCATCTGCCTCTGTTGCGCAGAAAGCAACTAAAGCACTGCTACTTTACCTAAAGTCAACAAACTTGAGCGACCGCCTGTAGACTGTGTGTGCTCCCCGAGTGTGCTCGTGATTGTGTGTACCTTCTCATCTCTCTGCAACCTCTTTTCTCCCCTTTATCCCTTCCCCAGTGCAAGGTGGCAAACCGGATGCGCGTCTGGTTAACCTCCCTGCCTTTCCTTGCATCTTTATCTCTCTCTCTCTAGTTGCTGCGTAGTTAAACATGAATTTATGGCACAAATGTATAGACAGGGGCGAAGAAGATACGTAAGACACGGAAAAGCGCAGACATGAAGAGGTCTGAAAAGCGCCGACATGAATAGTTGTGCGCTTTTTCGTGTTTTACGTGTCTTCTTTAACTCTGCTTGTCTAAATTTCTCCGCCATTCATTCATGTTCAGGTTAGCCAGAATGCACCCGGTTTGCTAGTCTACAGCGGCGGAAGGGGGAAAAGAACAGAAAAAAAATAAAAAAAAGCGAAGTAGGTCAGCAGCGCGCACAGAAGCGCATGTAGCACGCATGCCCAGCAGTTCATAAAACTGCAAACCTTCACATTTATCGAGGTTTCTATTCAACGTTACACAGAACCCGAACCACTCCTTTCAAGCTTTGTGTAGTTGTCAAGCTTACCTTTTTGACGGCCTATACGGTGAATGAAATAGGTGGATATTGTCTCACTTGGTGCTCTGGTGAGGGTAGAGTGAGGGGGGGGGGTTAGGAAATGTGGACGAGCTGTGCAAGGCAAAGAGGCAGTGTGCATTTGTCATGCCCTCATTAAATTGTCACTGTAAAGCGGATCCTCATGCAATTTTAGCTTTATTTTTGTCAGCACGAAGAGGGGTGTATTATGTAGCGTTTATACTAAGACGACTTCAAGTAAGCGTCACTAATGTGCCAGTATATTATAAATTGCCAATTATGTCAATGCCACCTGACACAGTGGCCGAGGTAACATAACTATAATTCTTAACTGCAGAAATCATGTCTGATTTTCCACTAACTAAGAAATTTGATGCTCCGATAATGGTATTTGTATTTGTAGTGCTAGTGGAGTTTCTGAAAAGAAAAAATCGCTCGGCAATGACTGCATTGTCAGAGATCTAGCGAACAAGAAACTGGTAATTTTTGCCTTCTTCCGGCTTGTTCAGGACGTATTTAAATGAGCCACATGCATAACTCCTTTTTATTGAGCATTATCTTTACCCAAGGCCAATATTTCATATGTGAGATTCTTAAGCTTTTCACGTCTTCCTATTTTATTATCTCTTCAGCACGTGCATCAGACCATTTGCAGCTCATACGTTTGCAATTTCTTTTTAGGCAATCGGCAGCCATGTGCTTACATATGACAGCAAGATATCAAGCCGCGTGCCTGTAATTAGAAAACTTTTTGCACTACAAGTTCCGTGAAGAACAAGTAGGCTGCCATAAATAATATGTTAGTACTGACAATTTTGTGGCACTTACCGCCAGCATAAAAGGTGGGATGATAGTGGAAATAGTTATATACTGGTTGGTATTTTTAAGTGCGTGCTTTAGCAAAGAGCCACATCCAGGACTTTACTTTTTAAAATGCATGTGGATAACAGAAATGCGTTATGAGAAAGTGACTGCATGGATCGATCGTTTTTTATGTTACTCATGCTTCGAATAATAAGGCATCAAACTAGTGTTCGTGAACTTTAATGTATATGTCTTTATGCAAAGTTCTCGTCTGATTTGTTTCCAAAACATCTAGGCAGTCAACTCCACCGTGGGTCAATGCACGCCCCTCTAACCGTAAAGCGGCAAGGCAAGTGGCTAGATTTCGTCGACGACAATATTAACAATGAACTGGGGTGCACAAACGAGCAGTCTCTGCATGAATCATTACATTGTGGATGTCACCTTTTCACTGACAAGGATGCCTAACCGAGTAAAGTTACTAGCTCTGAATTAACTAGCCAGCCTTGCATTTTTCATAGCAAATGCTTACTTCGGCGACTAACTGCACAAATCGACTTACTGCATCTGCTCTTTCGCATGTGGTTATTCGCTCTTAGTTTGGAAGTCCTTCGAAGAATGCTTCACGAGGTGAATAGTCATGTGTGCTTTGCAAGACAAGTATTAATGCTCATATTTCGCTGCTTGCTTCAAATAATTTTTTTGCTTTCCAGCATTGTGAGAAAAATTATGCCATATGTCCCACTGCACATTGTGTTGTAACCATCGCTCTCCACCACTTTTTTCGTTGGTATACCTGTATGTATACCAGCGACACCAAGTAGATGAACTAACTACAAAGAATTGCCTTTTACGAGATTTGTCTTGCCTAAAGTTTTGAAAACGTACAACAAGCAGTGTGATGTAGTATTTTTTTTTCTTGACAGGTCATCTGAGTAACGTTGGTGTGTTTATGAGTGACAACAGTGTATTTGAGTGATTCCTTTTTACTACACCGCTTGGTTGAAGAAGTGTTCAAAAAAGTTATTTTAATACCAGAAACCAATCAGTATTTACATTCTCAATAGTAACAGTGAAGCCTTCCAACTATTAATGTACATTAACAGGGAAAATTCGACAAGTTTGTCGTGCCTTTTCATCCGAAAGTTTGCCGGTCAGTGGAACTGAGAATTTTTTAGCGGCTTAACTTTCTACACTAACTCCCTCCTGGGCTTTGCAATATGCCAAAAGGTCTCTGCAGGTGTCGTAGTTTACGCATACGCTATTGCACTAAAAACACGAAATTAAATGTATGAGCATCAAGTATCGAAGGATATAATTTACGTTGTCGTCGACGTTTTGGTGATGATGTCTGTAAGCTTGCGTCATGGTTTTTGTGCTTGGTTTTGTTTTTCCTTCTATTACTCGAATGCAGGAAGGCTGCCAAAGCTCTACTGGTCTTTTTGCCACTTCTCGGTGTCACCTACATTCTCGTTATTTGGACACCTACGCACAAGACAGCCAGAGTAATATTCACATATCTGCAGATTACGCTGCTGTCCACACAGGTGAGGCTATCCGTGTGTGGACTTTTCAAATGCTGTCATATTATCAAAGATGTCATTGTGTGAATGTATTTGCAGTATACTTTCATTCGAAGAAAGTACGCACAGCCCTGTCCATGGTCGAGGTTGATAACAAAGTTTACCTGTGCAGAAACCGGGAAGAAAATTATTTGATAAAGAATAAATGAAAAGCCAACTTTTATTCTAATTTATTTCTCGCCATTTACATTAAATTTACTTCTAGTAGGACCTCCTATACATTGCTTGTCATCATTATCCGTTAGTTAATAATAAAATTGTGTCTCACATAGCGAAACGAACCTCTTAAATTTGGCATTCACTTTCTTCTTTATTAGTGATGCTTTGGTTCTTGCAGAGTTGATGCGTTCAATAGTACGCGAGGAAACATTAGTCAGCTGACAGCTCATAATAAAACCCGGTGCTGGATGACACCAACAGGCAGAAAAATAGTCTTCCAAACTCACCCTCATAGCTACTTTTTGCGCTGACTAACGCTTCCAGGTTTAAAGGCACACACGTACCATATGCAGGTGAATGGGAGATTGCCTGCCGACGTAGCTTAGTTGGTAGAGCACCAGATTTGTTATTCGAAGGTCACAAGTTTGGTTCCTGCTAGCGGCAAGTTATCTTTTTGAGCACTTTTATTTCTTCACATTGCTACAATTGCTACAAATAACGTCCCATATCATTTCTTTGGCACCGTTATCAGTTATTTTGAATAATACATGTTGCGCATGTTATTTTTCTGTGAATATCGTGTTTCTGCCATCGGGTACACGATTGAACCAAACATGTTGAAACCTTTGGAAAAATGTGTTGTCCCTTCACTTTGTGATGTATGATTGCCTGTTCACAGGCTTACGAAGAACGCACTTTGTTGATGAATTTTGTTAATTTTCTTATATTATATGAGAAGCAGCTCCTTGAATAATTCATGCAACACTGTCCCTCCGTCGACACCACATTCCCGTGGCCGCAGGTGCTAACGTGGTACCGAGTAGGTCATGGCTTCGCTCGCAATGCGCGCACGTTGATGTCACTCACTCCCAAACTTGTAGCCGCTTGCCGCGTGTAATCTCGCTCGCCTCACCCTCTCCACCGCTCGCAAAGTTCGAGCGCAAATCGAGTGGAACCACTCTTTCCATTCGTTCATCTGCCATGAAACTTAAACGAAACGTTAATGCGCCTCCCATGTCATTGCGTTTTACAGAAACGTTTACTAGAGTACATGCTACACCTAGGTTTGCTTTAAATCATTCTCCCGGCACCCGCGTCTACGTCCATCTGTTTCAGCCGGGTCAAGGGCGTGCGCATCGGTGTTGCTTCGCATCCCATTATGATTCCCTTCGGCGCCGACGGTTCATACTTTAATAATGTAACTCCTTACCTTTTCTTGTCTCTAACAACCTACCAGACTGAATTTATCCGTCTAATTAGCACTAATCTACAAGAAAGTTAGCGCTAACACAACCAGGGCACTACTGACTCTGAGATGTCGTCAGAAAATGCAATACAATAAAGATAACAAGCAACTTGGTATCTGCCCTCGTATATGTTTGTGTGTAATGGTATGCCGTTCATACGCAGGGTTTCAACGTCGCTGTACTCTACTGCTTCCTGAATGGCGAGGTGAGTATAGATTTCTTGAAATATTCAATAGAAACAAAATTTACTGACTGTCAGCGTAAATATCAAGAACACGTAGCGCATGATAAAAGTTGCCGGTAAAGAAGCAGTCAACATTGTTTCGTTTTCTTTTCCACACGCTGTGCACGCAAGCAAGTACTCTATCCCAGTCAGCTACAGTTTTCGTGGCCCCTTTATAGCAAAAGATGTTATGAGATCACAAAGGGTCGCATGAGCCGGGGTTTTCCACCGCCGCCGGTTTCCGTAACCACTATGAAGCGAAATAAGACAAAAAAACCCAAACTAAATAGAAAACACAAGGATACACGAAGATTCAGACATAGGTCATGTGCGTGCAAGCCGGGTATTCTACCTTAGAGCTACGACGTTTTTTCATTACTTATTGAACACTGAGCTACGCCGGTGCCTGAAACTCCGTTCCAATCTGGCCTTACGCAGTCTTGATGTCAGGAAAGGAATTGCGTTAGTATGGTTAATAAAGCTCTTTTCAACAGTAAATTAACAACTAGGCCTCACACAATGCGAATCGCGTAAGGCATGGTCACCCGATAGACCAACCCAGTACTAAAGCTTCTTTGTACTGGGCAGATCAACTGGAGGGGGCCAACGATTGAGTGGTTTATGGAACAGTATAAAGCTTTACAGAAATAAAGGTTATATGACAAAGATTTAAATAAGGTAGTAAATTAGGGAGCTCGATCTAATATATACATATAGAAAAAAAAGCTTCAGTCACAAGCTTTCAAGGTCATCAGCCACAGCACTGAAAAAGTGCACAAAAATTTTGCAAGTGCTTAGAGGATGCCGCACTTTTCCGAAGAATGGTGCAGTGAATTCCTGCCTACTACACAACAATTATAGCAATATATGGTGTAGTGGGTACCCTGCAAGTGTGTTTGTAGCAGTTACCCAAAGAGGGCCTAAAAAGGCCCTGAAAGGCCGCATTCCCAGGTTTCGCTGTGACTGTGATGCACGTTCTGCGCAGGCCTCTCGAGTTTTTGTTCCTTGCACTCCACTGCTGGTCGAATGACATTAGCAAAAAGAAGAAAAAAGTGCTAAGCAATAACTGGTATAATTGTGACGGAGCTCTATATATTTTTTTGCCATCTCTGTGTTCAACTCGAGGGTGCTGATTACCTGCTACAAGAATTGTGGACAGATTACCATTGGTCATGTACAGCTCGCCTTTCGATTTGGTGAGTGGTAGATCAAAAAGAAAGATGCCTACACGTCATCGATCTAGATGGCCAGGAAGTGGTACCATGTCAATGATATAACGTGGGCCTTCCCTCATCAGGTTTTAAAGAACCTTCTTTATGGAACTATAATTAAAAGCGAATCATATCGGTTGACAAGCAATTGATCAAAAATAAGCTCTTTGGTACTAGCAGGGTCTCACTAACGTAAGATTCGCCCATTTCAGTTTATTTCACGAACAAGTTCAGTACAATAAAGCTCGTTAAGTCGAACACCAGGAGCACTAATAATTGTTCAATTAAACAAATTTGGTGCTAAAACTCACAAATATTGTGTCAAACTACTCGAGCAGAACCCAAAAAGCCACCTTTGGACTCGACATCGTGAACTAGGTGGTAATAGAAGATTGTGGTAAGTGATCCCATGGATTACGCTAACGGAGCTTTTAACAACCAAGAGAATTTGGTTACTAGTTATCGATACCCCACTTCTGCTGTTTTGTGTTTTGCATCTCTAGCAAGTATATTTTGATTTCGTATTGCAACATGTAGTGAAATTGTGCGCCGGCTTTTCCGTGGAGCGTCGACAACGGGAAGCTGCCTGTTCAAATCGACCGTTGCGGATACCAACTAGTTCGAATTATCGCGAGTTTCCCCCAATAGAATACATATGGACTTGGTCAACCAAAATAAGTGAGATCGATGACTTCACATCATTATTTTATTAACAGGGGAGACAAGAAGATTTTGTGTTTTAGCGCGACAAATTTCTTGCTTTATTTATTACTCTTTAGGAATACCTTCACTTCGCTCAATAGATGTTATTTCGACTTTGACATGCATTTCTTACTGGTGTAACAATACCTTGAAGTGTGATCAATGTTTCAACTGATCGTGTATCTATCACATGGCTGCGGGATTACCCTCTCGTGTAGGTGACCGACTTGACTGCAGAATTGTCCATTCAAAGTTCGTGAAGCATTGTTACTTTGCACTGCACAGGTGCGAAAGTCTGTGCGGCACCACCTGGAGCGCTGGAAGACTGCCCGTGCCCTGAAACGCGGCGGCCGACGTCGCTCGAGCGCGTCACGTTTCAGCGACGTCCGTGTTGCCAACTCGAAGCGAGGAAGCTGCGGAAGCTTCGCTACGACCACCACGTCGCTGGGAAATGCGCGCCTCTACTCGGCCACCGGCAAGCGCTTCAGCAACGCTTCCTACGGCCCGGTGGCCCTGAAAGATGAGCTTGTGTGAACGCGATTAACCGACCTGCACCACACGACTCACGTTCGCAGCGAAACCTCCGACGTTCCTCGCGGATAGGCAGCACTGACGGACGACATGCCGGTCTACATTCAGCACGCAATCGTCAAGAGCTAGCGCGGAATGGCAGTTGTCTGTGCCAACGCGACTAGATGAGCGTTGCTTCGCAGGCATTTCACTGCCTAGACTGTGAGACTGTCGACCGCTCTCAACGTTCGGTTTCGCATAACGTAATGATTGCTAAAGAAACAAGGTATGGGAGTGAATTTCGCTAGCGGAACATTTGCCTTTATTTGCTGTACTGGTCGAAGATTACCTGTCAGATGCGGGTCAGTTCGGCGTGTTTCGAGATTCATTATTCTCCTTCGACGATAATTTTTTTTCTTGTCGACCGTTAAAGTTTACAGAAGTGGAACGGAGCATTTTACAACAATTCTCTATGGGAGACGTTGCCAAAGACTGAAACATATCGGATTAGCTGGAAGTGGTGACCATTAGTATTTGGTGGCTTGGTTGATTGAAGGGAGTGCCGGTTGGGTACCAGATCCGGTGACGGCATCTGCATAAGTCAACGATGCAGTAACTTGTTTTGGAGACGCGTGCGAAGGATCTTCGGCAACTCGCTTCTGAATAGCACGGTGAAGTGAGTGGTTCTTGTGCCAGAAGAAAGTGAAGAACACGGATTGCCAAGTTTAGTCAACTTACCAACCATCTACAACTAGCCACAACTTGAAAGCGAAACAAAGTGAACGCCCGCCATCGAACGTTGTATGACTGTGAGCAATGTGCGCGTTGCCGCTAGCACGCGATCACTGGTGCTTGTCTGACTGTTACCAGCGTATACATAGAGTGCTTGAAAAGGGTGCTACTGCGGCGTTCAAGCAATTATATCTTCTCCAAAGTGACGTTGTGACTGGAAATAGTGCGAGGGTCCCACCGCTTTTGATGCATGAGGTGGCGATGACGGAAAGGATATTGACGTGGAACGACAGACAGTGTACTATTATTGGCTTCATTTGTATACTCTATCACTTATGTCATCTCATATGTGTGTACGTGACATTGACGAATCACATAGAGGTACCTTAACGATATTGCTTCGAGAATAATATTTGTTTTGGTTCTACAGCGGTTAACGCCGCGTTCAAGTAACGTTATTCACACATATCAGGCAGTAATACACAGTGCATAGATTGTTTAGTACTTGTTGTACATGACACCTGACGAGGGCCTTGAAAAACCTGGAAGCAGTCGTGAAATCACAAAAGAAATGAAATGAAATAAAAAATAGCATAACATTTTGTGGCCTTATAAGTAATTTACTGAAGGAAAACGCTCTAGTGCAATAAAACGGATGTGGAGACTTGCTTTTCCGGAGCTCTTTCTTTCGTTTACCGCATGTTGAAAAAGATTTGTGCCGCGGTAATGTTCCGCACCTACTGACAGAACTCTAAACAAGCTGCCGAAGAGTTTTGTGCTGTCACATGTTTTGCATCACATGTTTTCTGCTGCCACAAGTCTTGTATATGAATGTCACACGATTCGTGGTATGTGACATGATTTTATATTCTTGTAAGTGCATGCTCCGAGTGGAGAGAAATGAAAACACGATGCGGAGAATATGAGTGCTCACAATCTTCAAGTATGAATGACACTAAATTGGTGCCAGGTGACATAGAAGTTTGCTGTAAATCTTACTTTTTCACAGAGTGTAAACATCTATATTTATAGTAAACGTCACGTTTATGGCAAATATTCAGTGCTGCAATGCTACCCAAACGTAGGGTTCTTCTTACGGGCAGTGCAGATGAGTAGACACCAGCCAGATCTTCGAAATTACCTGCACGCTTACTGTTGCTCTAGTAGGTGAACATCACTCGCCATGGCTGTGTCAGTGTGCGCTGTATTAAAGACAGGAAATTGCCAGTAGTATGACCTATTGTGTATTCGCTGCTTTTTCAATGGAGTTTGTAAGCTTCCTTGCGAGTGGCCGAGGAATGCATAGCATACGGAACTATTTGATGATGTAGATGCTTAAGGAATAATCAAATGGGTTAATTCAGATAGAGGTAAAAAGACGTTGTTGCTGAGATTCGCGATGAGATTATCGGGTTATATATTCGTTCTTATGTATGTTTTCGTTGTCTGAACATAAGCCAAGTGGTGAAATTGTTACCACGCTGGTCTCTTACAAGAGGAGTCAGTCTTCGTGAAAAAGTCAAGAAGTTTTTTGCGTTAGTCAAGCTATTAAATGTTTAGCCTGAATAATATTCTTAAACATTTTCTTACATAACCATAAATGAAAGATAAAAGCCCCGTTACTTGGTTAGTGGTCATCGCCATAAAAGTACCAAGGCAATTACTACCGCGTCACAGTGTGTGTGACTTTCGTTTTGTGAACAAACCAGTTGCCTTGAGCAAACTGAATAGGCACGTTATCTAGTCAGCCTCGCACAGCCAATACAACTGTTTAGCAGGAACTTTGCAGCAGTGGGCACCGATCATTGTTACAAACTTTGCGTTTTCAGCAGAAGGCGCCACTTTTAGCAGTGTTGTTTGTGTGTTGTCAGTCTTGTAATAAACTTTGAGTGTATATTTTAGTAAATAAATGTCATTTCCCAATGTTAACTTAATACTGTCTTATTAAGAGTAGTCGCAAATGGTCTGACATCTCTGCAGACCCGTTCGTGCACCCAAGGGTCGCAGGTTCAACCCAAATCACTATGAAACTTTTACCGAAAAAAGGTAAAGAGCGAGGCAAGTCCGCTTTGAAAAATTGGCAAAGAAAATAAAAGACCGAGCTTGTTAGACCGCATCAGTGGCTCACATTGAGGAGTGTTACTATTTTCTGAAATTTACCGGTAAGTGTTCTTTATAATCGAATACTTTCGTTTGCAAGATCGTTTCTTCTGTAGGTTACAAGGATTCCTCCGCAAATCTTTTTACAGAATATTTCCATTGTGCATGCGGAAATATTTTTTTATTCTTCATTAGGCATCACACAGGATATGCTAGGTGATAACAGTAATCAGAATATCCAGAAATAGTGAAAGCTATGCGCAGTTGTAATGTCGTTTTTGTTCCCTAAATTAGCCCTATACTAGAAGCAAGGCTTTGCATCCGGACACCGTAAGTGCTTTGTTGAGGTATTTCGTAACCTCTATCATGAAAGACGAGCCAGCGTGTGTATGCCGGGAACTGAAGTTGGTTCAACGTTTTGAAAAGAAAATCAACACAGTCTTTTTTTTTGTTCTGAATAAAGTTATTTTGTTTTTTATTTATCGATATACAATTTTCATTCGGGCAGGGAAATAAAAGTACATGCACCAATACACAGCTGTAAGATGTCAATTTATATTATTAAATAGAGTAGCGTAGTGTTGCACGTGCGTTTTAGGCACGTTTGCAAGATCATCTCCGTTGTGTTCACCTAATCTCATGTTTTTTGACCATGTATACTGATTACACCCAGAAGAAAAGTTTATCTTGGATGCAACAAGTTTTTTCCCACTTTCGTATTAAACTGCCACCTTGAACAGCAAGGCTTTCCTAAATTGGCTGCAGTCACAAAAAAAAAAGACCCGGTAAGTTGGCTTTTCTGAGCGGATAAATGACGCGATCATGCTTTTCAACGTGACTGCGTGGTTCTGGTGATGAGTGCACTGCTTTCCTTCGAATGCTCTGCTTATTTTAAACGATATTATTGATCTGTTTTGGTATACTTAACCCTGTAATAGATTAAAGTGGTTGCTTGAGCGAGTTGCTATGGCAGACTGGGCTTAAAAACTGAGCAAAAAGACACAAGAACAGTAATGGAGGACAAGCCACCAGCATTGACTTCCAACAAGGTATTGTTTGCAAAAACGCCTAAAGTATTCGTGCGCAGTGGAAGTGAAAAAAAGACGGGGGGGGTGATAAAATTAAAAAAAACATACGAACAACACGTCAGAAATATAACATGCAGAAATAGGCTGGAAAAAATCAATATATTTCTGCGATTAGGCAGCCTTACACTCCATTGTCTAACTGGTCCCCTGTTTTCATGCGCTGTTTCTACGTAAATACACTGGAGCCAATCATGAAATTTTGGTATTGCTTATATCAAGGACATCAGCACCACTATATCGTGTCTCGCATTGGAGCGGACAAAAAAGCTCTTTGAAGCCGAGTGAGTACTAGCGAAACGTTTGAAGACGTAAAATATTGTTTTGATGCAGCGTAGTTTACTATTACAAAAAACTGAGCAACCTGACATTTGTGCAAGTGAATGACCAGTGAAAACTATTTTTTGCGTGACACGAAGTTGCACCAATTATACGCCCTACCATGAAATACCAAAATATGTGCCTGGAAACTTTCAATCATGTGTAGCATATGCTTCTTCAAAGAAGGATGCAGAATGCTTTACTTTTCAATGAAATTATTTACCAAAACATTTTGCAGAAACACCCGAAGCCGTAGTTGTTATGGCTAATTGAGGACTCGTTACATGCAAGGCATATTGCTGCTTACTAACGGAAACAGCGTTTATACAGAGAATTTTATTCAGATTCACATGTTCAAATACGCTCATGTGAGAAAATAAACCGAGCGAAATAATGGCACATGTACACATGGTGCGTGGACATTAGATATGGCGACTGGTAAGCCTCCGATAGAATTGTTTCCTTGCAGGCTGCGTCATGTTTGGGTGACACCTAATTGTGGTAGGGATACTTTTACAAATGTATGCACCAATAAACAGTTCGACGGTCGTAAACAATGTGCGCCATGGGAAGAATATGATTTAGTTGTTTTACGATTAGAGTGTGAGCTCTGGGCCACACATATTTCTTCAACTTTAGTCTACTGGCGAGAGCAGTGGCGTTTGCCCATTTTTTGTGACACCTTCGTTTTTCGCCGCTGAGAGTTCTTCATTTGTCGCGTAAGCTTCACTGGCCGAGGCTGAGCAGTTTGGCGTGGCTTACAGTGCGCCGCTCTGCGCCAGCACGCACAGCAGTGACCTCACACGGCGCACAGCT